CCCTTACATGAAATTTTATGAAAATAACATCAGCAAGAAAAACCTTTTCTTCTGGATGATATCATATTCAAAAAGTGTAGAACTGGATTAAAATACACAGTAATATTCTCATGAGTCTTCCAGCAAGCTAGCACAGGGAAATTAGTGGACAGTTCAACGTGGATAACTTCTCACTCTATCAACCCGCCAATGTACTTTTTAACACGCCCTCGTGCTTAGCTGAGACTTAGAACATGCTACAACATCAGTTTTTGAACCACATGTTGGCTACTTCTGAAGTCTTTTATCAGTGACAACGGGAGTGTCAGTCACTCTCCTGTTTCTGTGGTTGGCTGTTAGAATCTCGTTTATCCGTTTGCCTCCGACTGCTTCTAAGTGTGTAGCTGTAAGGCAGCAGATCAGCTGAAGGGTCTTAAAAAGGATATATTTCTCTTAGACTTTGTGGGCACTGAGTTCAAACAAAATTGTTTAATAAATCCATTAAACTGATGTAACAAACGGTATGATTATTTTTATTTGTCCCATGGGTTCCTAGTGGAAAATACGGTCTCAGTAGCACGTTTCCATTGTACTCTGTTCTCTGCAGTCTTTTCAACCTGGCTTCACCACTACCCACAAGCTGTCACTTCCTCCTCACATGATATCCTTCACGTCACCCCCTAATAGGATGCCCAACTCGACGTTTTTCGTTTTGAATTTCACTCGAGGGCCTGACGCATGGTCTCTTCAATTGGTCTTCCCAGTAAAAATCCAATCAAATCCATCTCCACTTTCTTCTTCTGCATATTCGTTGGGCGATAGGTTCTTGGTTGGTTCGTTCCCAGGGTTCTTTGTTGAGCATTCTTTCTGGCCATTCGATCTTCAGTATGTAGCGTAAGCAGCTGCTGATGTATGTATGTATGTGAGTAGAGTGCACTGCGGTAGATCGACACACTGATGATTTCAGATTAATGTAGGAAGGCGTGTAAAACTCTCCTTCTGATCCTAGCTGGCTTTGACGTCATCATGTGTATCTGTGGCGCCTGTTATTGAGAGGATGTTGACCAGGTAGGTGGGCAGGTAGGTGAAAGAGACAACTTCATTCGGATTTCTCCCCTTCATGGTGATTGGCGCTTGTTGTTGTTGTTCGATGTTGGGCATCTTCATCACCTCTACCCATGTCCTCTCTACGTTCACCTGAAGGAAGTCTTGTCCTCCTTCGCTGCACCAACAAACCTCTTCTGAAAACTTGTTAGTTTTCCACTGTACATCTTCAAGTTTGTGCAACAAGACACTAGACATATGTCATCATCGATGGCCAAATCCGAATCCTCTTCCAGCGTCTTTTCATCGCATCGGTTAAACGGTGTATGCCCATCTTCTCACAGTTGTCTGTTGCATCATCCAGTCCAGTCCAGTCTAGTCGGGTCCAGTCGACTGCAATCAGGGGGATGATCGGTGATAGTAGGTGGGAACATTCTCTTACACATGTCTCCTGTTTTCACTTCGAAGGCATCACTCAGCTCCCCATTGTGAATCACTTGGCATTTAGCGTCGTCATATAGGATATAGCTGGTGTTGAATGAGGTAGATAAGGGTTTGTGTCACAAATACTGTAGTGTCGGAGCAGCTGCCTGCCAGACTACTTCTCTGTCGATGCTGACGAAGGCCTTTTCGAAATCGATGAAGTTGAGGTCGTGTTGAGTTGAATGCCATTCTAGGTTCTGTTCTATGATGTTGCGTAGGGTAGTGTTGTAATTTGATCCGCATGTGATTTGTTCATCCTGAAGCCAGCCAGCCAGCCTGATATGGTCATAATTTTGAATTCAGAGCATCTTTTAGTCTCTGCAGGATGATGTGGTTTAATATTTTGCTGGGGGTGGATAGGGGTGGAGGATGATTCCGAGCCAGTTCTTGCAAATAATTAAGTCTCGTTTTTTCAGTAGTTTGACATGGTAGGCCTCCTTCCAGTGGGCACGTACCTTTCTTTTCTTCCTTCAAAGCATTCTGCGATAATGCTGTGAGTATATCCGCTGTTGTCTCTGCAACTGTTTTTGGTCCTTCTATTGAAATTCCATCTGGTCCTGCTGCTTTCCTGGATTTCAGCAGCTTTATGGCGTTCAGGGCTTCATTTCTGCCTTTCTCTGAGTGTTTGCGTTAACAAGTAATTTTGTGCCTTGGCGGCTGGTAGTATTTATGGACCAGTTGTGGCACCATCTTCCTCTCCCTCCTCTATCACTTGCCATGTGTTCATCAAGATAAATTCCTTGTCTTGAATCTACTTCCCCCACCTAACACAGTTAGGCAGATTCCTTCCATGTCCCTTTTGAAGAGTTATAGTGCTCATCCTCAGGAATGTTGCCTAATGCCTTTTCTGATAGTTGACTGACGTGAAGATTTCCTTTGTACCTTCGTCCTCCAGCTTCTGTTTTGTGTGAGTGCTGAACTTGAAACGGGGCCGCCTATCAACAAATTCTCTTATGGCTCTCAACTTCATTTGGAAAGCAGATCGCTTGCACCAGATACTAAGTGGTGTAAACCACCTACTTCTGTTCCCCTTCTTCTTCTTCTAATCTGATCTTGTGTCCAGTAGGCTGGCTGCATCCCCACTTTCTTCACATTGAGATGAAGTCCATATGATTTTCAGTGTAGTGTGTCTGGTGTCTGGTGAAATCAAATCAAATCCATGTCACTGCCTTGTGAATATAATTCTACTTGTACACACTGCCTCAAATGACGAAGTCAATAAATGTACAGAAGTCTGCAAACAGTTCTCCATTCCCCCTCATCATTTCACCGACGGCTTCTCCACCGATGATGACCAGTTCTCTTCCTGTGTTGTCTGCTTCCAGTTTGGTATTCATCTCACCCCACCCACTAGAATTCTGATGTTGCCAACTGGGGTGGGGTCTTGTCTAGTACTGATTGCAGTTGTCTATGTGATTCCTCCTTCTTCTCTTCATCTGCATTATTTGTAGGTGTGTAGTGTAGCATTGTATGATTGTGACTTTTCCTCCCTTTCATTTGAATCTGGCTGTGATGATCGTGATCGTGGAGGAGGAGATTGGTTCCCATTGACTGAGAGCCTTCAATGTTGTTTGGGACATTATGATATCTACTGGAAAACTCAATGTGCTGTGCCGGTGGTTGTCGTCTGTGTGACGATATTGGAGTAGATTAGATAATTGACTCTTGAGTTGACAGTTTGGAGAGTCCACTTCCATTCCATCTGCTTATCCCTCGCCGATTTTTATCCTGGCACTTCTATGCTATACCTTCTCATCTCCTTTGTAATCTGGTCAGCCTTGCCAGCCAACCAGCCAGCTCCAAACATTGTGCGTACATACCATGTCCCCATGTTTACTTTCGCTTTCATCGAGTCAGATAAGGCACATCGACCAGTCGGCTTCCCGAAGGCTCTCACTGACTGACGTCATTTCGTCTCTCCGATTCCAGCGAGTTGTAAGTTTATTTTTATTTTTTATATTTTGTTTGTGCTTTGAAGTTTCTTTAGCGGTTAGATTGGTTTTCCGAGGTAGGGTTGCTAACCTTACTCCCAACCTTACCTCTTTTTCGGGGTTAGGACCGGCTAGTAACTAGTGAACTAGTTACCTAGGCGAGGTTGTAACATACGGTGGCATATAATTATTTACTGGTTAGGGTTCGAAGATTAATCTACTTTCATAATCATATCAACGTGAACACAAAAGAATCACCATTTGGTTTAAATATTTTTACCACTTCTCACTTTTTACTTCCAGTGATAGTAAAACGTTTTGCATCTCACCTGTAGATTTTGCAGCATTGGTGCTGCACTCTGTATCAGTGGATAACAATAATCTAGTTAGAACATTAGTTCCCTATTAGATAGTTTGTTTGACATGGCATACAGTGATAAGGTATTATTTACTGGATGAATTTTTGAGGAAAATCGACTACTCATATCCATATCAAAATTATCATACGACTTTCAAGCTTCCATTATATGATTCAACACGTTTTCGTTCGGTAATGACCATCAACTCGCTAAAAGAACTAAAGCTTTTACCGAAAAAATGATGCTAGGGATATGATTGTGTTTAACTTCCACTGTTTTCAAATTTCAAGGCCATATATATATAGACAAATACAAGGAGTAGTGATAGAATCTGGACTAAACATGGTCGTAGGAGATAAACTTATGGACAGTTTGGAAAAAAGGCATTTGGAACATTCCAACTTACTCCAAAAGTTTGGTGGTAGTATTTAGGTTATTTAGGTTAACCAGAACAAGGTACCTCATAATTAAAGAGGAAAGGAGGCTACCGTAGAGTTCAGGGCCCACGTTTAAATCTTTTCAGGACTCTTTAGCTGGATGTATTTGACACCTAGTGAATATTGTTGTTAACACAGAGGTTCGAACTCTGTGCTGATTGTTTCAAATTTTAGAACGTTATCCATTAAGCTACTACCAAAGCGAACCTGTTGGCTTTATCAATCCATCCAGAAGATAGTCTTTATCGCGGTGATGGTAAACCAAATCAGTCTAAACCAAACAGCAACGGAAAACCAAAGGTCATACTAGTGTTTGGCAATACCTGTACGATTTGAAGTGTACAGGAGCAGAAATTGTGAATTCTCTCTTGTTTTGGTGGTTCGGTGTTTTTGGACTTAGCTGTAAATCTTTCTCATCATTTCATCTTTTCTTATACACAGCCTGGCTAACATTTGAAAGGTATCGAAAACTTCGGAAATCAATGACAGAATACCAACTAAGGTAGCTGGTAAATACTTGTGAAATACAACTCATCAAGTTCTTAGTAAGATCGCCAACCTAGATGATATTAGATATTCGAAATCGACATTTATGAATGCCTAAACTTAGGTTACCAAAAGGTGTACCCTTTTGATTACTATCAACAAGCTAGAGATCTAAATCTATGGCTACTATGTCCCCGAAGAAATTGATTTATCTATTCACAACCTCCATATTCAAAAACGAAAGGATATAGTTGAAAACTGAAGTCTTTGAAACACATGTTACTTTGTAAATTGTATTTCAGTTCTCTGCATTTCTGGAAAAAAGAGAAAAACAAACTCTTATGACAAAAAGATGATAACAATAATAATTGGAAAGGAAAGTCAAATAGATCATAATAATTACTGTCATTATGACATAACTGGCTGATTTAGTGATTTAGTTCAAAGTAAATATCACATGATAACTTAATTGCTTGATTTCTTTCTATACAAATTTATAAATAGAAACTTTATAAGATAAATTACAACAGACTACTTATTTACTTATTTTAAGTATGTGAAAGCATATGTCTAGTTAAATGATGTTTTTCTTTAAATTGTTCACTACAAAGGGAACAAATTAACTGATTCGTTGAACAAGACGATATTGTTGACATTAATGGTGTTGTCAATGATGATTGTGATTGTAGTTGGATTTGTGATAATGCCCGTGATAAACATGATTGTTCAGATGAATATAAATTAGTTATTTCCTTTCTGGAATTGACTTCATCAGTATACAACTCTTTGTTCTTTTGTGATTTATCTTTTGAATGAATATGTGTAGTGTTTAGAGTTGTTCTCTCTTTATTATTTGAAGTTTTACTCGATTGATTATGATATGTACGCATATGATGTACTAAATCACTAGTTAAACGAAATGTAATATAACAACGTGCACACCAATTTTGTGCTAATGATAAACTGTTCAATAGTGAAGATTGTTGCTTTTTTGCTAACATCAATGTTGGTGATGTTGTAGTTATGTCAACGTTGGAAGAATTAAGTGTACTATCAATTTTTGAAACAATTAAAGTTTGTATTAATTGTTCAACTAATGGATTTCGAGTTTTTAATGGTAACACATTATTTTTTAGTTTAGATTTTCTGTAAATACCCTGACTGTCATCGATATGATTATTTGGTGTATTTTGTTTCGTTTTAAAGTTTAATAACATTTTATTGTTTGAACGAATTTTGTGTAGATATTTTTTATGGAATGATATCATAGTTTTATTCGATGGGTCATAAATTTGATCAAAATCATTTATTTTACATTGAAATTCTTCTCTTTTGTTATATTTCATATCAGTTACAGATGATGAACAAAATGATGATGAGATTACCTCAGTTGGAAGACTTTCAAGAATCAACGGAGATGGATCATTCTTCAATAGAATATTCTCCATTCTATTTGATCTTCCTTCGTCTTTTGTATTAGTTACTAATGAATAATCAGTGTTTTGTTGATGTGAAAATTTATTAGTCATCTCATTAGAATACTCATTTGAGATTGGCGGTTGATTGATCAACTGAATATTCTGCATTACACACAGTTTCTGACATTTAAATAAACAATGTGATATATAAGGATATATGTATGTAAATTCACTGCTACACTGAGGACATTTGAATTTATCTAAAAGACAGGAAAAAAGTCGGAAGTTCATTTGCAGTTTGGCATATACTGAAATCAGTTTAATCATTGTACTCAGCGCTTCAACACTACGGAGTGCCACAAATCTTTAGCAACCTCACTCAACAGCTAAATGCCAAATCATGCTACACGCTGAGTGATTGACAAAGGAAAGTTCAATCATCTCTTCGAATTGATGACAACGCTAAGACAAGGTTCCCACCTACTATCAACAACAAACTGTGAGGAGCTGCGAGAGGATGGGGATACACCATTTGACCGACGAAAAGGTTTTCTATTTCTCCAACGATGACGATTTATGTCTAATGTCTTGTTACACAAACTCGAAGAACTACAGGCAAAAACTAACAGAAGAGGTAGCGAAGGAAGACAGGACTTCCTTAAGGTGAAGGTGGAGAAGATGGAGGTGATGAAGATATCCAACAACAACCAAAAGCAACAAAAAGCACCAATCACCATAATCGGGAGATATATGAGGGGAATTGTCTCTTACACTTATCTGCCCACCTATCTTGGCAGCATCGTCTCAACTAAAGGCCGCACAGGCACACATGATGACGTCAAAGCCAGCCAGGATCAGAAGGAGAGCAAGACAGGACTTCCTTCATTAATCTGGAATAATCAGTGTGTCGATCTACTGCAGTGCACTCGACTCAGCATAACGAACAAGATGCGGACTTTCAACACTGCTGGAGTCAGTCAAGTCAGTGCTTCTGTTTGATGTTTGAAAGACTTGGCACGTTAAGAAAAGCATTTCCAGCATACTGCAGACATACATGAACAGCTGCGGTCTGCGCTCACTTGATACTAAAGATCGTTCAGATGGCCAGAATAATAAGAATAAGCAACAAGGAACTCTAGCTGGTCCCTCAGTGAATCAACCAAGAATAATTTGGGCTCAAATTATTCTGGTTCTGAATAATTTATCGGCGTCTTCAAATTGTTAAAATACGTAGAGGAAAGTGGAGACGGATTGGACGTACACTGAGAAGACTGTTTGGGGACACCATGCGTCAGGCCCTCCCATGGAACTGAATGGGAAAACGACGATTTAGACGACCAAGAGTGACATGGAAGAGATCGTGTGACGAAGAAATGAAAGTTTCTGGGCAGTGGTGGAGCCAGGATGAAAAGGCTGCAGAGAACTGAATGAAATGGCGACATGCTATTGAAGCCCTATTTTCCAATAGAAACTCAAAGGATAAATATTAATAATAGTAGTCAGAAGCTGAATGGATCACGTCACAATTTAATTATCACGCTGTGTTGCGCAGTGTGTAAAATTACACGTTTTTGTTTTCTCAGTGTACTAGAAACCTTTGGAACTTGTCTGTTTCCCTCTCATATATTAAATAGTTAAAAAACTAGTTTGCACCTGACTGCTTTCCCAAGAAGACATCTTCCGACAGTTTATTGTACTAGCCATGATAGGCAATAAAATAAAATAGCCCCATTCCCATTCATGACAAGGTACTATATTTAACACTACAGGTTTTCACGCCTCTAAAATAAGTTGTCTCGTATGAGTAAGTGTGGGCCAATCAGTCAGTAACTTTAAAATGTTAAGGATCACTGATCAAAGCACTTGAATGACATTAATTGTAGCTTGAACCCTGCTAAACTTAAATGTCTTATTAGTTTGCACATTCTGCCTGTTCTCTATCTTTCTGCTCAGTTTCCACTTTCCCTGCAACTTTGAACTGGAATGGTTAAACTGATAAACTTGTTTGTCTTTGGCCTATCTAGGCTGGTTTACATGTCTTCGTTTCTTCTGAATTTATTGTGTTGTGTAAATTACTGAAATACAGTTTCTTACTCTGTTTTTTGTTGAAACTAGAATGCGTAGTAAAATGCAAGTGAGATGCTTACCCAGCAGTTGAGAATGATCTTCTTCTCAAGAAACTAGATACTTCATTCATTTGATAACTTTAATACTTTTCGTAAGTGAAACCATGTGGTGAGTCATCTAAGAAAAGCTTCAAAAACTTGTCTATGAAGTGCTGTCGATTTGCATCAACCGCATTCCATTTAATTCAGGTATAATTCATATCACCTGTTACCTATGTTTTACGCATGAAAAGATAAACTCAAAACTGTGTCCACTTTACATCCTTAGTATTGAAGGCTAACTGCTGAGACTCTGCAAAACATTTTCTAATTTCCTGAAAAAAATAGGGACGTTTTACTTACAGACTTGGTTATGGACAAAATGAAGTAATAAATAAAATTAATCTGTCTCAGTACTAGTAGGTAATGTGGAAATAAAAAATCCTGATCATATTAGTTCTATGTTGACTGTTCGACTGTAAAGGCTGTTTGATGCTCATAATCTTAGCTGTCTAAGAGGCATCTTTGTATAGGATCAAGCAATCGTGATTTTAGCATGTTTCCGATAAGACACTTATCTCAGGATATAGACATTTAGATCAGGTTGTTTTTCAAGCTGGATGTTCGTTTAATAAACGTTTCATTATCATTAGAGGATGACATCATCAGCAAGACTCAGCAGAGAAATAAGGTAAACTTATTTCAGTTCCATATTTTCGTAACTCTAAATAATTATTTCATCTACCCATTGGAGAGAATCGAATCTGTTGTGATTATTTTACAGTGTTGGCCACTGAATTTCAACCATCATGATTTTAACTCTTCTCCACATGTATCATATGGTATGAATACGGAACTGCTCTTAGCAGTTTAACCACACTGTTTATTGATTTTTATTAGCTGTGATTATCTCACTGCAAGAAAGCACTGGTGATTCGTTCCACTTAACAATAAAACTCTTTTTTAGCATCCTCTCTTGTCATGGAGATGACAAACAAAACAGTTCTTCACTGCTTTCTACCCTACTCACTAATCTTATAAAGGCTGTTTTCCCACAGTTGAACATGAATACTATGTAATAATGGTATCTCACAAACTGATTGGAATTACAAACGTTTGAGGATATAGGCATGAACAATGTAGATACAGTGGTTTGATAGCTGTATATGTTACACAGCTGATGCTTAGTAGCAAAAGCAGAAACATAGTGAAAATACTGAAATCAGAAGTGATGAAAAGACGTAGGACTAAAATGCACACAACACTGTTATGTCCTGCATATTTCCGCTGATGAAACACTGCATATTTGATTCGTTCATGTGATACAGCACCCTGTTATGCAGTATTGTTCAACAGAAGACGTTCATCGAACAGCTGATTACTCATCTAAATATCTGCACAACTGTCTATATTCGATCTTCGCAATTTTATCACCTGTTAGTCTATCATTTCAGGGAAAAATAGAATTTTTCAGATTTCTGGAACATGCGTTACATCATCACGATCAAATATATCAAATGTCGACTTCATGAGTGGAAAATAATTGTTAAAATTTGTATCGATAATTTGATATGCTTTTGAGAACTAAGTTTTCTTTGAAGCACCATCCAGTAAATAATATTATACCACTGTGGACTATATTAGATTAATGAATCTAGCGTCGAGTTACTTTCTACCAGACTGTCCAATTTTTATGCTTGTGTTGGAAGCCGTGCCAATGCAACTGACTTTTAAACAAGTTATCCAAAGTGTTAAACTACCGATTTTTCACTGCCCAGACTACAGCAACTACGAAACCCAAAGTTTTCTACGTTAATTACACCATAGTCAGCAACTTTGTTAGTTGGTTTTCATTTTTTTTTGGTCTTATCACTCTGTGGCTTCCACCAGTCAACTTATATTTCATATGAAGTAACATATTTACAATATGCACTAAGCTGCTGGAGCGCAGGAGTCAACTTATCTAACAGGTATCAGTCATTATTATTTATTGATGCTTGTAGCTTCCCGTTGTTATTCTAAATCAAATTGATTGACCCTTTTTGGCATATGGGCTCCTATGCGGTGCGGTGACTATCGCACCTCAATGGCCCAGTGAACAGCGCTTTGGCAAGCGAAACGATGAGTGGTGGGTTCGAGTTTCAGTGAGGAAAATATCACTCAATGGGAACCAGGAGCATCCAGATGACGAGTCCAAAAGGGGACCAAACACACGTCCTAGATTGCACTACCGGCGATCATTAGTCAAATTACAGCAACCAATAATCAGGCATTATTCAGGCATCCACAGAGCTGCTCATATGTCAACAGAGGTCAGTCAGTTTGATCCAAGATGACAACGGGAAATTACAAGCATCAGTTAACAAGTAATAACAATAACTGTTTATTACCTTCCAGCTTTGATATTTGATAATATATGTTTTGCTATTGAACAAAGTGGCTCTGTCAGTAGAGACCGTTGAAAATAAAGCAGTTAGCACCTTCGTTCTAAGCTACAAGTGCTTTTTCTTATCTTGTAGCATACTGAAATGGCTTTCATTGTTCAAGATAGCTTCAATCGCTATAAGAACACACCTGACATTCTCTTTGCTTATATGTCAGCTTCATCATGCTATGAAGCGATGAAGCACACACAGTTCTAAGTAAGTATAAGGATATCACAGTCCCAAGGAGGAGGATGTAACTTGGAAATGATTAACTGAAGCAAAACAACAAGTTCACATATTTTGACTCAGTTATAACTTGCTTATCATAAACCATAAAAGTCATGTATTTAATTGCAGAGAATCGAAAGAATTTAAAAACTGCTGAAAACTGTGAAAATTGAACTGAAAAACTATGGAATGATCAGTGTTTGTCAGTGATGATTCAGATGATATCTATTCTTTAAAAATACCTTCAGACTGATGAATGATTTACGCCAAATTATTCAGGTATTCTTTAAATACAGAGAAATCCTACCAATAGACACATTTCAGTGTTGAAAACTTACCATAAAATGTCACACAAAGTTTATTTGTTTGGAGGTAACTGAAAAGTAAGTCTGACATGTATGTTTCTTTTCATTTGAAAGTCTTTCTCGTGATGTTTCTATACCCTGTTATGACAGTGTTCTGTTATTCAGATTTAAATCCAGCTTACGTTATTGCAAACGTCAGGCATCATTAAGTCACTACAGTGATAGATTTGATTTCCATTGGGAAACAAGAACCAAAAGTTTATAAAAGCAATACTGTCAATAGAAGTTTGAACACTAAGGAATCGAGGAACATTTTTTCAGAATTATCCTGAGAAGGTCTTAAGCAACGGTGACGCCCCACTAGTCCATCTATTTATGACAAGTTTACGCATCACCTATCATCTTTAGAAAGGTACATCTTAAAGACTGATTCTTCAAATCGAAACTTCTCCTCGACTATCTGAGAAGCCTAAGATGGCAAGAAAATCCACAGCCTTCACTCTGTTTTGTGAAATATCATCGTGATGTAACAAAGTCAAATAGTCAAAAAATCTGAACAAAAATCATAGGCGCCATTCATCCATATTATTTGGTCCAAGTATATAAAGTCGATTACATAACCATTGGAGACACCGATGATATTTAGCTACCCATTATGATTGATGTTAGGAGGTTGAAGACGATTTCGAGGTAGCTGTGAACCTAGGATTTATACATGTTGGGATACCTGGGATGTTATCGGAGCTGTTGTCTACTCTGAAAGTTGAATTCACAACCCTAAGTGATGCAGTCAGAGACGTAACCGGTGAGCTGTTCAGGCCCACTATTTAACGGTAGATCTCATAATAAATGTGGAAATAAGTATCATGGAGGACTTCAATACAAATTAGAATGAAAACAAACCAGTCCGATATCGAAAAAAATGAGTTTTATATATTCTGCTATTTCATGGTAAGTTGTTTCAAAACAAACTAATCAAAGATAACACAGCTTGTTATTATTTATGTATTATGAATGGAATTACTAGTGTAATGGTCGGCCTAAATTAAGAATAAAGCCATTATTATTACCATCATTAAAAGAACTTACTATGATCAACACTGAACGGTTTACTGTATCCATTTTCCAATTCTTCGTAGTATTTGTGGTGTGAATTTGCTGACTTTACTGTCTGTCCAAACCATGCTTCTGATATGTGTACATTGTTCAAGTGTTCAGAAAGAAGTGGTTGTAAATCTTGTCTTCGGAACCAAATAAGAAGTTCTTCACCAGCTTCTATTCTACGTGTTGTTCGATAGAATGACTGACCCAGTCGATTGGAACATATTAACTCCATATTCTGTTCACCTGGACATCGTGCACAACGCAGATTACAAACCCATTCAATAAGACGAATAGGATCAGATAATCGTTTGGGATCAGCCTGTTGTAAATAGAAAAGGTCAAAGATTTAAGTTTCAGATGCTTATTCCCCTTTATGTTCAGTCATGTTCCATCGTTTTTTAACGAAATGAAGAAATCAGTAAAAGGATTTTAAAATGTCTGGAAATAATGGTGAGTTAAAAGCCAAACAGCAGAAGTTAGTTAGTTTTGCTTAAGCAAGTTTGGTTTATTTACTATTGATTTTGCAAGTGGGGTTGGAAACCATTAGTCTTAACCGATAGTGCCACCTAAACAGACCGATATGATCCAAATATTAGAAGACCAGCTCAATCGTTTAAAGATTACCCGGTAGGAATGATATGAGCTTTGATTCATCTGAAAGATACGAGGTTTTCAAAACACTAAAGTTAATCACCTACTTCTAAAGACTGGTGATACAAAACTGAGTCAGGTGATTGTAAATTTACCAGTCCACAGGAAGAATTACAGCTGTAGCTGTAGAAATTTGGACTGAATTTATTTTCTAAGCTAGGAGTATTTCAGAGAGCAGCTCCTTCACATGTTTTCGGCAGCAGATGCAGTAGGCATGCAGAAACACATTTTCTTGCTCATGATGAAAAATATTTGTAGCTCAAAATGTAATGGTCTTTTAGCTTTGATATTATAAGGCTCAGAGAACGCCAAACGAGCACTAACTTCTTGCTTATATCATGCAACAACGGTTTCTTCCATATGGGATCCGGAGAACTCCTGTCACATAACATCTTCGAGTTTAGGAGAAGAAGCTAATATACATAAATTCTCTCATATATCAAATAATAAACCGATCATGCTGAGTTCTGTAACCCGTGGAAACATGAAAATGTAGCATGTATATAGTAGATTACCTAGGCAATAATAAAAATTATTATTATCTTAACAATCAACGATGGAAACAGTAGGGTGCTGAAAACACTTAAACAGTTACAGTAGATCAAAATTTTGGAAATAAAAGTTGCGTAATCCTAAGGAATGCAGAGTGCATATAATCAAAGTTTTAGTAAACAAAGATATGTGTGAAAAGAGAGGGAAAGAATAGAAGGAAGACATTTATTAGGCTTTCTAAGGTCAAAGGCAGAGACAAGGACTGGACAAACCTTTTCCGTAAACAAAGACTAAAGTTCTTTTCTCTAATTCCCGTAGCCTAAGATGTATGTCATATGCAGGTACGAATTCCAGCTGGAAGATTTTAGGCAATGCGATAGAAAAGTTTGGACGCAGATAGAAAGAAAGTAGACTCTCCAAACTGTCAACTCAAGAGTCAATTATCTAATCTACTCCAATATCGTCACACAGACGACAACCACCAACACAGCACATTGAGTTTTCCAGTGGATATCATAATGTCCCAAACAACATCGAAGACTCTCAGTCAATGGGAACCAATCTCCTCCTCCACGATCACGATCATCACAGCCAGATTCAAATGAAAAGGATGGAAGGTCACAATCATACAATGCTACACTACACACCTACAAATAATGCAGATGAAGAGAAGAAGGAGGAATCGCATAGACAACTGCAATCAGTACTAGACAAGACCCCACCCCAGTTGGCGACATCAAAATTCTAGTGGGTGGGGTGAGATGAATACCAAACTGGAAGCAGACAACACAGGAAGAGAACTGGTCATCATCGGTGGAGAAGCCGTCGGTGAAATGATGAGTGGGAATGGAGAACTGTTTGCAGACTTCTGTACATTTATTGACTTCGTCATTTGAGGCAGTGTGTACAAGTAGAATTATATTCACAAGGCAGTGACATGGATTTGATTTGATTTCACCAGACACCAGACACACTACACTGAAAATCATATGGACTTCATCTCAATGTGAAGAAAGTGGGGATGCAGCCAGCCTACTGGACACAAGATCAGATTAGAAGAAGAAGAAGGGGAACAGAAGTAGGTGGTTTACACCACTCAGTATCTGGTGCAAGCGATCTGCTTTCAAAATGAAGTTGAGAGCCATAAGAGAATTTGTTGATAGGTGGCCCCGTTTCAAGTTCAGCACTCACCCAGAACAGAAGCTGGAGGACGAAGATACAAAGGAAATCTTCACGTCAGTCAACGATCAGGAAAGAATGGGCGGCATTAGGCAACATTCCTGAGGATGAGCACTAGAACTCTTCAAAAGGGACATGGAAGGAATCTGCCTAACTGTGTTAGAAGTAGAGTCAAGACAAGGAATTGATCTTGATGGACACATGGAAGGTGATAGAGGAGGGAGAGGAAGATGGTGCCGCAACTGGTCTAGAAATACCACCAGCCGCCAAGGCACAAAATTACCAGTTAACGAAAAACCCTCCGAGAAAGGCGGAAATGAAGCCCTGAACGCCATAAAGCTGCTGAAATCCAGGAAAGCAGCAGGACCAGATGGAATTTCAATAGAAGGACCAAAAACAGTTGCAGAGACAACATCGGACATGCTCACAACACTGTCACAGAATTTTTGGAAGGAAAGAAAGAAAGGTACGTGTCAATTGGAAGGGGCCTACCATGTCAAACTACCGAAAAAAGGAGACTTAATTATTTGCAAGAACTGGCTCAGAATCATCCTCCACCCCTATCCACCCTCAGCAAAATATTAAACCACATCATCCTGCAGAGACTAAAAGATGCTCTGAATTCGAAATTATGACCATATCAGGCTGGCTGGCTGGCTGGCTGGCTTCAGGATGAACAAATCACATGTGGATCAAATTACAACACTACCCTACGCAACATCATAGAACAGAACCTAGAATGGCATTCAACTCAATACGACCTCAACTTCATCGATTTCGAAAAGGCCTTCGTCAGCATCGACAGAGAAGTAGTCTGGCAGGCAGCTGCTTCGACACTACGGTTTTAGTGACACAAACCCTTATCTACCTCATTCAACACCAGCTATATCCTATATGACGATGCTGAATGCCAAGTGATTCACAATGGGAAGCTGAGTGATGCTTTCGAAGTGAAAACAGGAGACATGAGTAAGAGAATGTTCCCACCTACTACCACCGATGATCACCCTGATTGCAGTCGACTGGACCCGACTGGACTGGACTGGACTGGACTGGATGATGCAACAGACAACTGTGAGGAGGTGTGAGAAGATGGGCATACACCGTTTAACCGATGCGATGAAAAGACGCTGGGAGAGGATTCGGATTTGGCCATCGATGATGACGTATGTCTAGTGTCTTGTTGCACAAACTTGAAGATGTACAGTGGAAAACTAACAAGTTTTCAGAAGAGGTTTGTTGGTGCAGCGAAGGGAGACAGGACTTCCTTCAGGTGAACGTAGAGAGGACATGGGTAGAGATGATGAAGATGCTCAACATCGAACAATAACAACAAGCACCAATCATCATGAAGGGGAGAAATCCGAATGAAGTTGTCTCTTTCACCTACCTGCCCACCTACCTGGTCAACATCTTTTCAACTACACGCAGTGACAGGCACAGATGTTTATGTGAAAGCCGGGATCGGATAGACAGCAAGACAGACCTTCCTTCAATAATCTGAAATGATCATTGTAGAGATCTACTGCACTTAGCGTAAAGCGTGAACAACATCCTGATTTTCAACACTCAGTCAGTCAAGTCAGTCATTGCTTCTATGTAATGGTTGAGAGACTTGGCGTGTCACGCAAAGTATTCCCAACAAACTGCAGACATACATGCACAACTGCCGTCTGCGCTTACTCGGTACTAAAGATCGTTCATATGGCCAGAATAACAAGAATAAGTAACAAGGAACTCTGGCTGTCAACGAACCCACCAAGAACCCATCGCCCAACAAATATGCAGAAGAAAAAGGAGATGGACTGGATTGGACGTACATTGGTAATACCATTTTGTGACATAATGCGTCAAGCCAGGCTCCTGAGTGGAAGCCAAATGGGAAACGACTAGTTAAGCGTCTGCGGGTGCCTTGGAGGTGTTTGTGTGAGGAAGAAACGAAAGCTTCTGGTCAGTGGTGGAGCCATGTTGAAAAGACTTTAGTGAGCAGAGTGAAATGGCGACATGCTACTGAAGCCTTATGTTCCACCAGGAACGAAAAGGACTAATGATAATTACATTATGACTACCAACCAAATGCCACAGAACTGAACGTCGTTTTGATTTCACTTGTCCCTTTGCTAGCCATGAGGGTAGGGCCTTAGCAGCACGTTTGTTAAGCTGCCTAGTGACACGCCCAATGTAAGTCTCGCCACAGGAGTAGCATAATTTATAAATGCACATAGAAGTGTCAAGGCTGGGCAACTTGTCTTTTGTCTCAGCAACAATTATCGACCGGCTAGAAAACGATAAGCATATGTTAGCAGCAAAAAATGTCCTTCTGATGGCTCTAGACAACCTCTGCAATAAAATATTACCAGGTTCATCCCCTTTACATCGGAGCTTCGCGAATAATGATTTCGTTTGAACCGTCATCTTCCAGATTTCCTTGTCATTTTGTCCATGTGTCTCTTGAAAAAATATTGAAGTAACTTATTTTATAATCATAATCTGAATGTGTTCTTTCTTCTTTTGAATCTAATCATATAGGTAGATCCTTCTAACTAAACTTCTTTTATACTGAATGAACACAAAGTTAGGGAAATATATGTACTGACACGTAGATGTAGTCTTTCTGTACACCCTTCTAATGAATGACCTATCCTTTCTTCTAATTAATAGAACATGCAAAAAATGTGACATATTTTCATGTTCTTCTTCAAAAGTGAAAGTTAGTGAGGAGTGTACATCAGTAAATTTTCTTAACTTTGTTTTTATAGACACTTTGATCATGGACAATGAATATGTTGTCAGTATAACGTTCATACATGTTCAGATTATTGATGACATCTTTTGGCAGTCCACTCTCAAGTTTAACGATGACTAGGGTTATGAACAGGAAACTGACTGAAAGTACTTAACTTAATAGTATACTGTGTAGTTAGGCCGAATAAATCGGTTTGTAAGTGCCGAAATTGACCTCCATCAGTTACGAAGCACCACGGTAGCATTTTTCAAGCCTCTATAAATTGTTAGCTAAAATGAAATATAATATCCACTGCTTGATGGGTTATTTTGGTCTTTCAAACTACATAATGTCTTTCCCTATTTTCTACGCATATTCTGAACTCTAGTACTTACCGTTTTGTTTAAATTTCCTTCATGCACCAAGTTTATCACTTACTGACAATTTTTTTATCTTTACCAATAGTAAATCTGTCCAGATTAGTCTGTACAGTGTTGCTACTATAGTTAGCAGACTCATACATAGCATCTAAAGCAGACACAGAACTGACTTTCTAGCATGACTCAAACCTGTGGTCTCTAGTACTTTACATCTTGACTTATGTGATGCAAAGAAGCAGTTGGAAAAAGGATTTTGCGAGTCAATCAGTTAAACCTTGTTTTTATAATCCCACTGGTGGTTACTTGAATTTTTTTTACCACCTTAGTTCTTTGAAGTGGATAAGCACATTCCAATTATATGCACCTTATGATAGTAAACTACACACTTTCATAACTGTTTTCAAATACCATCTCGTTGATGATGTGTGTATTCATCCAAGGGGGTTTGATACAAATCATCGCGCACATACAACATACTGATGAAATCAAAAAATCCACTGAATTTTTTAGGAGTTTTCACCATTTTAAAATCTTTATTGCCTTGTCTAACCTTCGTTACTAACTGAGATTTGTTATGTAGGCAGCATAAAAAATTGCTGCCGGCACTATCGGATAGGGACATTTCAAAGCCTGTTACTGGTCATTGAACATTAAACTGACTTAGTATAGAAATTCTACGGTTCAGCATCATGCTTTGGGATATATGTTTACTAAGTAACTAACACCTATTATGGCATTCAGGTCAATGACACCTACTTCTACAATTTTGGGCACTGTCAGCCATCAATTTAGCACTTGTTCAGTCTTGGAGATGATTATTTATTATTTGGCCTATCTGACCTTAGCACTGAAAAATTTGGGTTAGAATATGGGTTAGATCTCTGCAAGGTTAGAGACATCCTCAACGTTGCCAAAAATCAAGAAACCTTTGTTCAACAAGGCTTCCTCCCGGGTGCTTATGAAAATTGAATGGTTTGATTCTTCGATGCAGTATTCGTCACTGACTGACCAATTAGAGAACCACTGAAAACCTCCGTGCACTGGACAACTGTTTCATCCTAGCACGGGGCTCCCCAGCGATACGCATCCACGACTCCATTAGAGATCGAACTAAGAACCTTCAGATCTTGCAGCTAGCGCGCCACTATTCAGCCACTGGATCAGAGTGTAATGGTCCAAATTTTTGCTTCACTACTATGGAGCAGCGATCATCCAATGCTATTGGCTAGTTATTCAGTGCCTCAGAGGTTCGATTAGTTCTCCAACTGATGTCACACCTTACTGAATACTACTTCAAATTGATCAATCCCCACAAACGTCCAAACGGAGTTAGATGTTTGCTTTTCCATCCGTCGGTAAACAGAGGACAATACACATAATTAATGAATTCAGTAAAAGACTTACATAGATTGTTGGCAATTCAGACAGTCTATCAGTTGTTGTCTGTGCAATCAAATATGCTGGTTCACCAATCATTAAACTTGTAGGTAATGGTCCAAAACTTAATGATTCTTCCAGTACATTTGTTGTTATCATGCCCATGATTTTCAGTGAGTTCCAGTTATCTAGAATATTGTTAACTGATACTAATTAAGTCTGAGCTAAAATAAAACAGAAAGTACATGAAAGATGGCAATTGAAAATTGAAACACAATTTAAAACAGAGAATAATTTATTTAAAAGCAACTGTGAAGAAAGTTGTCATTTTTACTATAAACTTGTTTGAAGTGTAACAAGCCCGTGCAGTTTATAATTTTGTAAGATGGGTGAGTAAACACATAAAAAAGACACATTAACAGATTACTCTGCGTCGAAACAGTATGACCTTGTAAACGGTTCAGTGTTCAATGTGTGAAGTTAAATCCTTCCCCTTCTGTTTTTTTTAAATGATCTGTGACAGATGAAGTCAGGTGTATAGAAGAAATCTGTCAACTGAAGAGAAAGTAATCATTTAATCATTTAATCATTTAACTGCGTAACTTAAGCGGAGAAACTTAGACAGGCTCCATGTTTTCTACGTACTAATCAGATCAAATCACCATTTTTGATAATATGATGTAACTGGGATTGTAAATTACTGACGATTTCATTTCAAACCCCTAAGTGGATCGTTCGGATCTTTTAACCGATAAAGCTTATTTCTACGTCAGTCTGTAGGTTTAAATGCCACTCTAATCCCAGTCAGCTTCATTGAGAATCCTACATAATATCTCTGAGGCGCCTTCTTTGTGTGGTAATACTGTAGAGGTTTTGAATTCTGTCTTCGCAGCATTACCACTATTATTACTACGTTTACTATCACCATTTTTATTACTGTTGCCATTATTTTTATTATAAACACCAATGTTACTAATATTGGTTATATTTTTCTTATCATTTCTAAGGACTTTATTGATTATTTTAGGAGACTAGTTACTGATGAGTAAGGTGTCCTTCCTAAATGTTCCTCTTTTCTTTAATAATAATAATAATAGTTTGATTATAAGCAACATGTATGATATAGTACGGAGTTTTCAGCATGAAATATTCCAACAGATTCGCCTTCCGTACAATATTTTTAAAATAAATCATTATTACGTCTGCATAGTGTTGAAAATAACAGTATGGAAGGCATGCATAAGAGTGAAACGGGCAGCTAGTGTTACATTAGCATGTTCTCAATTAGGAAATTAATAAAAAATCGAGTGTAATTTTAATGGTGCCAGCTCAGTCAACCAGCACAGAAATTCACAATCCCATATAGGTATCCTAGAAATACAAATGTGGTGTGTTTTTGAGCATTTACAAATCCATTTCCAACAAATGAAACTTTTTCCTTTTGTTTGTTTTTTAGCTTGAAAAACAAAAGTTTGAAAACATTTTTAAAATGTGCAAAAGTACTTGATGCTTTCAGAGGACATTTAAAAGACTAAAATATACTGGAAGCGAAGAATTTGATGAAATATAATCCGTGGAAAGCTTTTTTGGTAGCCCAATATTTAAGGAGGCCGTCTGAGATCTGTTTCACTATTCAGTTTTCTAGCTCTGCTACCCAGATATTTTACTAAACCACCTTTAACTGACATAGGATGAGACGACTTGAAGTCTAAGCAGTGAAGTGCGATGGCTTAGTGTGAAGGTTTTCGACGAACACTGGTGTCTGAAATCTCATCTTGTCTTTGTTTTATTTTGCAATCCAACACCGTTAATTCCCTTTCACCATCTCCTAATTCACATGTGAATTGGATTATGTTCAGTACTGAATTTATGTATGTAAAGAAAGTATCTACGTGTCGCCAACATATTGACACCATACTTTTGGAGTAGGACTCAATGTTTTGACACCCATCCTTTCCTAACTATCTATAAATACATCTGCCACGTAATCCAGTGAACAATACTGTTTTACTGCGCGATCCATCTAACAAATCAGTTAAAATGGAGTTATATTCTAGTACAGCGCCTAAATTTTACTCTTAAAAGACTATTTTCTATAACTGAACAGGAGAAGAGTAACTGACAGAGAACTACGTAGATAGCTAAATACTGCTTGTCTATTTACTTCACAAGGAATCTCAATCCTGAAATTAGTGTTAAAATCCTGAAGACTGTATTGAATATTTTCAGCCAAGAATGATAATACTCTGGTGGCGTATGTTCGCTTAACAAGATGGCATTATCGTGAAGCTTTCATTAGTTTCCTGGATAACATCATCAGCGGAAAATCTAGTGAGAAGTGAGTTTTCGGAATCCCTTCTTGATTGACTTAATGGTTTGTTTTAACAAAATTAGGTGTGATTGGTTGATTTTGCTATCATCTTGTCATTGTCCGCATATGTGTTGTGATTAGCTGTCCTGTAAACCTGAACTTAGATACTTTTTCAGTTTTGTGTTTCTTGCTCGTCATCTTAGTATGCCTGTTTATTGCTGATGGACCTGAGAGCAAAGCTTTAAGAACTGATAAGAATTCTTTGTATTTCCTAAACTTAAGATTTTAGTATTTTCCCAATTGAATTCATGTCCACAGTTGTTTGCATGTATTGATATGAGTGATGTATAATGACTTTTCACTGCTGGTTGATGTTCGCGTAAACGAATATGGAAACGAGCATCTTCTCTGTTCGTTATAGCGTTTTTCACAGTTTCATCAGTGTTTTTTCTCGATGACAATGAGCTTATCTTTCTTTGTGATGGTGTATTTTGGCTCTCATGACATGAAAGAAGAGTGTGTAGATGTGTTGGATACAGTGATTACCATTTCCTGCCGGAATGTTTTTCATATATAGTAGGGTAGTCCGTCATTTGGTTTGCAGGATGACATTTTTGATGAAGAAGTTGCTGAATGTTAGACGAATCTTGATGACGATACAGACAGGTCAAATTACGGAAGGTGGGAAACATTATCTTTAGAAATGGGGTGAAATTAAAGGTGATCTCAAGAACCAGTGAAATAACTAAATAAGTTGTAATTTTGAGTGAAAAGACAAACAGTCCACCGAGTAATAAAAAAGAACATGGTTGGTTATTCGGATAGTCGCCAGAGTGGCTTTCAAAGCTACTTCGGAGATATAACTATATAAAGTGTTTTCCTTAGCAATTAACAGTATGAATGGAAAACATAAGGTGTGTGACCACAGATTTCTAAAATACCGTATAATTTGTTTATTTGACTTAGTAATTTGTATCCCTCTGGAGAATCCCAATATACACTGCCTACACCCAGCTGCTTTCCACCTCTACCTGCCCTCTTAAATAGAGATGAAGTGGAATGCAAAATACCCCAGGAGACATAAAAATTAGAAACGATGGAACTTCATAAAGTAACATATAACTTATCATTTTGACAATCTGGGATAACTATGCCTTGGTAAACTTGTATGGATACTGGTTGATGGTGGAAGCTAAAATGAAATTATGGGCAGCGATAGGGTTCAAACCAGAGGCCTGTGGGTTTACGGCAGTCAGATAAAACCCTTGCTGACTGAGATTAAATTAAGGTCTGGTCTGCAGATAAGTTTCTTAGTATAACTGGTGGAGCATCGGTCTGGAATCCTGGAGGTCAATGTTACGAATCCTGCTTTGGACCAGATTTTCATTTCATCTTCACTAACCACCCAGTGACATATAACTGTTCATTATAAATGGTGATAGTTATGAGATGAAAATGAGGCCAATGGCCTAATCACGTCGGCTTTTAATCTTTTTCACGGTAACCTTTATCCCATCAAGAAAATTTGTGGATGCTTTACTGTACAATCAAATTCTTCCCGTCCGCCTTTTTAATCCTTCCCATATAATCCATTGTATCATAGCATTTTTGTTGTTTAATAAAGCAGGAATGATATAACCATTTTGAGGTTTTCAATGGTTAATATACATGCATTTTTAAAAAAGTACAATATATTTTAAAAGCAGATATCTGAAATTCTAAGTGGTTCTAGAAGCCATCTTAATAATATCTGAAAACAACCAATTATAATTCTTTATTTTATAAAAATCAGCCTTCTTAACTGAAGTTTGGAAATCTATTTAGCTATTCCAGTTAGTGCCAGGGTGATCCCTATAGTCAATTGAAATCTTAATGAGAAATACTGGCTGCCCACAGTTTTGAGGAGACATACACGAAAATATTCCGTTACATAAAAATGTAAGCTGTATCACATAAAAAATTGACTTCGTTAATTAACAAGATATCTTAGTGAGATTAATGGAATAATGCACCCAAGTTTCGGTTGCCATAAGAATAATAAATGGGCACCAGTGATCACTCTCGAAACCAATGTGAAACAGTAGTATAGTACTTCTTGATCCTGAGAGATAGTCTATCTCCTATCAATTCATAGGCAAAATAATTTTAAATTCTTAACACTGTAACGATTTTCAGCGGCTATCAGTGGAATCCAGGAGGTGTGTTTCGTCCTATTTGGGATTCTTCAGGTGAATGTACCTGCCACCCAGTGAGAGATATTATTTTCCCTAAGACTTGAATGCGGGACCGATCGCTTCAAACGCATGGCATGGATCCCACCACTATTCACCGTTTATCATTGCTATACTACTGAGATAACAGGTATTATCGAGACAGCCTCTCAGGAGCCCATATGTCAATAGAGACCGATCAATTCGACCTGATCATCAACGGGTTATTACTAGGGAATACACATTCTTTTCATTGTTTGAAACTGAACCGAACCTCTGTCGATTTCACATCTAAACTATTTTTTACTTGCAATTATTAATTTATAGGGATGGGCATACTTTACATGTTCTCCTTCTTTCTTTGATAAACAACCAATGAATTAAGCCTTCTTTTTGTTAATTTCCATCTGTCTTTGCTTCATCACCTATTGTCATTTACATTCAAGTTCAATTATTTTTTCAATATTTTACTGATATCTAGTTTAGCCTAAAGGTTCAATTTTATGATCACAGATAGGAATTATCATCATGTATAATTTTGTATATTGTGCATGCGTGTATTCATGCGTGTTGTTTCATATGGAAGTAATTTGATCTGAATCGTATTATGTAAATGAACTTTGATTCCGACTGATCTAAAACACTTTATAGTTTAAGCATTGGTTGAAAGTTATCAACGTGAATATTCTCTTGACTGATTGGT